TTGGTAGCCCAGGCTGGCCTCGAACTCACAGAGATCCGCCTGGCTCTGCCTCCCGAGTGCTGGGATTAAAGGCGTGCGCCACCACCGCCCGGCAAAGGTTCATTTATTTATTATGTATACAGCATGTATGACTGCAGGCCAGAAGAGGGCACCAGATCTCATTACAGATGGTTGTGAGCCACCATGTGGATGCTGGGAATTGAACTCAGGACCTCTGGAAGAGCAGTCAGTGCTCTTAACCTCTGAGCCACCTCTCCAGCCCCCGAGATGTTTTTAATGAAGAGCTGTGCATCAATTTCCATTCTGGTGAAATTTTTCAGTCCTCACACGGACCAGTAACAGTAAGCAAAGACTACTCCTTAAAAGGCTCAAGCTTCAAAAACTTCAGAAACTTCCCTTTTCTATAAGTATATAAATAATTTTGGATAAGAAATAATTTTCAAAGTTATCCTGGTTTTCTACTTACAAAAATAATAAGAAAATCTCATCTCTTATCCATCCTACAAATTATAATGAAGGCTAATGTCTAAATCTATTGAAGGCAATTAATTTGAGTTGAATGATGCTGCTAGCATTTATAAGTTGATCTTTGATGAAAGCAAAAGAAAGTGGCTTTCTAGAACATGAACAATGTGGCTATCAAATACCACGATGCCTATAACAGAATATAAATTTTACATGTATTAGTCATACCTGCTCCTCCACCTATGCTCAGAATCTTAATTTCTGCTTTGGTTTTTCCAATCCTGAAAAGCAAGCAAACAAACAAAATTACAGAATTTAAGAAAAACATGAAAGGTGCTCTGCCAGGTCTTCCTATCAAGTCCATTGGAAAGCAAAGACTAATCAATGAATAGACAAGAAGCCGACATGAAAGTGTCACATCTGTGGCTCTTTATTTCTATTGCTCTACTAGAGTACCTGAAAACACAGGCTCCGTTCCTTTCTTGAACTTGGAGACAGAACCACCACTCCGAACATCTCACATGTTCTTTGGAGACTAGAACACAAGGCCACATAGTTCTGTGGACCTTTTACACTGACAATATAAACCTGGGCCTGGGAAAGGACTTGGTGGTCCATGCTACCTCTATATGTCTCTTTCCTCTTCCTTCTTCCAGTTTTCCTTTCAATAGAAAATATGTGTCATGTGTTTATTGTATGCCTATCCTAGGGATTAATTTTAAAAAGGATAAAGACAGTGCTTTCAACTTAAAAATCAGAGTGCATTCTCCCCATTGCAAGGGGAGGAAATTCTCAGGACTTCTTTCAGATGTAGATTTAAGGGTCAGGAAAAAGTCTGAGTACACAATGGCTGCTCTGGATGACAGAGCAAAGAGAGGGTTCTAAAGACAGGCCGCAAAACAGACTGACAAAAGTTTTCATTTAATTTATCAAGGTTCTTTAAAGAAACTTTAATTCAGCAGATATTTGAAAGTGAAGAATCTAAGAAGAAACATCAGGATCAATGATGGATTCCTGAGTTATCATAGTAAGTTCAATACTTTAAAACTGTCAAAATTGAGTAAACAAAGCCAAACAGAAAACAAAAAATGCATCTCAAGAATGTAGAAATAGAAAAAAACATGTTATTCAAAACTACAGAAAGAAATTATGAGAAACTAAAGATTTTGTTATGGACAAAAAATTTAGGTTAAAAATAGTTGCCTTTGGAGCATGGAATTCACAAAGTATTTGGGACAAAGGACCACTGTTGGCTGTTTTTGTCTGCTTTTTAAAATCATTTGGATTTTTAAATGACAAATGCATTTTATTAAAAAAAATATTACATTAACTATGCAAGTGCCATACCCGACCTCCCAAATTCTTCCCTTTAGAGACACAGGGGGTTTGGAAGCATTTTGTAGCTACAACTTTTAAACTACTTCAAGCAAAGATGTTTAGAGCTCCTGTAGCTAAATCTAATTTCATGGGGGAACACATTCTTTTTTCTTCTCTCTGTCTTCCTTCCTTTCTTTTTCTTTTTTCTTTGTTTTCTTTTTTGAACAGAGTCTCACATTGTAACCCATCCTGGCCTGGAACTCATGGGAATCTTGCCTTTGCCTCCTAAATGCTGGGATTACAGCATGGGCCCCCATGTCTAGCAAAATTGCTTCCTTATTCATAACTTTATATATTACTATTGTAACATGAATTTAGTTACAACCAAAATTTCACGAGTCTTTCACATATTCTACCATCAACATTTCGTCTAGACTGGACACACTCAGCAGACAGGAGGGTCACTATTGTGTTAAAACCATCCTTCATCAGACTAAGCTGTGAGGCTGAGGAAAATCAAGGATCTGGTTAAGCTAAGGGATGAATGTGTATCATCCAAACTGAAAAAGTACTGAAGAAGGAGCCCATGAGTAGAAAGGTCCAAAGAAATAAATTATAATTTCAGATAAAAGCTTTAATATTTTCATATTTTTTAGTTTGAAAAGTCATACATGTACGTAATAGGTTTTGGTCAAGTTCACCCAGTGTTCCCTCTGAAGGGACTCTAGCCCACTCCAGCATGGTGCTCTGCCAGGCCTTGCTGCCCTCCTTCCCCAGTTCTCTCTGCCTTGCTAAAAACTGCCAGATTACATTCCTGTAGCTAGCCACCAAGGTCTATTCCTTTGCTTGGCCACTTCCTCCTCCTGAGGCTGACTACCAAGGTCCAGCTATTGAAGTATTAAAGTCCAGCAATCAAAAGCCCTCTTTGGTTCACCTAATTAACATGCCCAATCAAAACATACCACCGCATCCTAGTCCATTCTAACACAGACCTCCCCTTTTTCTCCCCTTAAAAATTATACCTGCAAGGTCATTTGCTGCTGTTTCTCTGCCTGAGTCAGAAAGCAGCCACTGTAACTTTTCTTCCCAGCTTAATAAAGGATCTCTCTGAGAAAACAGGTGTTTAGGTGTGCTTTGTGCTTAATCCAGGGTCTCAGAGGGTGATCTCCTTCACCTTCCCCTCCAATAGATCTGCTCCTGCCACCATGTGTCCCTCCCAACTTCTTGTGCTGTTGATTGTAAATCCTAAATCCACTTACACTTAGTGGAACCCATGTATGCACAGGGTGGGGGGTAGAGCCCATGATTTCGTTTTTATACCCTTTGTCCTATTCCACGTCAATTCATTAACCTTGTTAAGACAGAAAACACAAGGCTGGGGAAATGACTCAGTTGGAAAAGTGCTTGACAAGAGAAGGAAGAGGAGAAGAAGAAGCACACGATTCTGCATTTGTCCAACAAGTCTGCTCTGGGTAGGCAGAGGAACCACCACAGGAAACTAACTCCACAGAGAAATTCAGAATGCAAAAGATAAAATACCAGATTGCTTTGTTGTTTGTAAATTAGGTCCACAGTCAGTCATTTCTTACTAGTTTTCCATAGTTACTTCTTGAAACTGAAGGAGTCGAAACAATTTATCCCCAGATAGGTGACTTGATTATCTTTAGCCTGCAGAATCTGTTACCTCAATAATGCTTATCAGCTTTGGGGCAAATTGAACACATTAATCAAAAATAAATGATAAATAAGGGAGTCTGTGAGAAGGACAGAAACCAGTTTCACTGATAATGGTAAAATGATCCTTTTTTTCAGGATCATATTGATAATATTAAATTGAAAGGAAAAGACAGCTTTTGGGAGAATAATTATAACAACAGATAAAGGAAATGAATTTAAATCAATATTATTAGAATTGAGAAGCACTAATTCTATGCCCTGGAGTAAAGAGTATTCTGCAATTTACTTATATTTGATTCTAAGGAATGAATACCAGAATCCATTTGGGATTTTTTTTTTTTAAACATAAAATTTGAAAGGAGGCTAGAAAAAAATCTTGTCTTTTCCCAAATAGGGTTGGGCTTGTGCCTTTAAAGCCTTCAAATGGTTAACACTTACCCTGCACTGCCAGCTATGCGGCACAAATCTGTCTTGGTATTTAAAGCAAACACAGCTGCATAAGCCAGGCCGGCCGGTCTAGGCAAGGCCGGGCAGGCAGCTGTGATCGGCTCTGACTCTAATCCCAGGGTTTCCTCCACCTCTGCCTACCCCTTGGGCTGGGTTCCACCTGTCTGTCTTTGCCCACAGGTTAGACCATTGGCAGAAACGCCTTTTTGTTACCTTGCTATTATGCCTGGCAGCTTCTTGTCCATGAATTCCTGCATGCACTGGTGTTCCGTGGAATTATTTAGAAACCTCCGGAAAGATTCAACGTATCTGCTGTGGTCAGAAAACAAGCTCCTCATGCAAGATGCCATATTGGGTTCCCTAATAAAGGCAGAGAGGGGAGCTACGTTTAACTTCCTCTCTCCCTAGTTCCTTCTTTTCCCTCTTTCCCTCCCCTCCCCCACCAGTTTCTATAACGCAGCGGTCCCTCAAACCCCGCCGAATAAGGGGGAAAAAAATACATGAATAAGAAATAAACCCCAGCACCTAAACCTGCTTTGCATTTGACATGCACCCAAAACTAGCGAGCAGAGCTCAGTGAGGTAGAAGACTTTCCGTGGGTGCTTTACCCCCTGCACAGCTGTTTTTGGGAGAGAGAGGCTGTAAAGCAGCCCGCAGTCCAGCGAAGCTGTAAAAGCATTCCAATCACTTCCTGTTTTTTCAGCAGCTGTCACAAGTAAGTTCCAAATAGGAAAAAGAGCTGGTTTATTCTGTTTGTTTGTTTTTAAGGCAAAACACTAGACTGACCAGGATTGCAACAAGACCACACAGCACTTTCAGAAACCTGCAGGTGCTAAAATCTAGGACAACCAACAGCTGGCCCTGTGTTTGTTGTCCAGAAGTTCACTGGCTTCCTGTGTCTTAACTTTTGACTCTCAAGCTCAGCTGCCGATTTGTAGGAATCAAATCTGTAATTTTTTTTTTAAGCCAAGGAGGAGCAAGAGAGCTTTAAGCTAAATTTAAAGTAGCACGAAGCTTTCCACATTCCCATAAAAGGATTAGCACACATACTCCTAATTTCTGAGCCTCTTGAAGCTGAAATTTTCACCCACGGTTATTTAGCGCTCACCTTAAGTCCCACTTTGATCTCTACGTGGTTGTTAGCTAGTAAAGACAAGTACAGAGGCATACTTGCTCTCCCAAACAAGTTACACATAGGCTTCTGTTTCCTTAAATGATTTAAAATGTGCTTATGCATTTACACTAGCATTAACAATGTTCATTCCTTCCACTAGTGAGGTGTTCTGTACGTGTTCTCCGTCTCTTTCAGTATCACCTAGATCCAAGTGTTACTAACAGCAGACATAATTCCACTGAGTTCTTAAAGTCGGAAATTGTGTAACTCTTTCAAAACTTACTTTAAGGATTACTTTTTGCTATGCCTCCAGGAGCTTCCTCCCAGGACTGATGACATGTCCGAGATTCTAAGGGCTTGAGTACTTCGCTCAAAGCATGGCAGCGAAATGGGGAAGAGCTGGGAGGGACTATGTTAAGGGTGTTAAGTCATAGCACCCGTGCTCTCCTGAAAGTCTTTATAGTCAATCCAAACCTATCACCTTGGACTTCCTAGATAGCACTCCATTAAACTAAACTAAACGAACTTCAAATAATCTCAAAAAAGAAATGAAAAAAAATGCTAAATTCAATCTCTCTGTGTCTCTGTCTCTCTGTCTCTCTCTGTCTCTGTCTCTGTCTCTCTCTGTCTCTCTCTGTCTCTCTCTCTCTCTCTCTCTCTCTCTCTCTCTCTC